GCTTGCTTGCTTGCTTGCTTGCTTGCTTGCTTGCTTGCTTGCTTGCTTGCTTGCTTGCTTGCTTGCTTGCTTGCTTGCTTGCTTGCTTGCTTGCTTGCTTGCTTGCTTGCTTGCTTGCTTGCTTGCTTGCTTGCTTGCTTGCTTGCTTGCTTGCTTGCTTGCTTGCTTGCTTGCTTGCTTGCTTGCTTGCTTGCTTGCTTGCTTGCTTGCTTGCTTGCTTTGCTTCCTGCCTGCCTGCCTGCCTTCCTTCCTTCAATCCTTCCTTACGTTGTTTGTGTGTTTGCTCGCTGTTTCATGAAAGCAAGAATGGGCTTCGTGCGAGCGAACCTCAATCCTCCCAACTGTTGCCATGTAGTCATTACCTGCATCCCCAGCCCGCTCGAAATGGATGTGGATTTCAGAAGCCGGCTTGGACCCTGAGATTCCATTTATGGTTAGCCCATGTTCCAGACAGTCGCGATTCGGCGACTCGAAGAAACCTCCGCAAGGTTGGGGAAGCAACCACGGCCATGTTTTGGATTGGGCAGATCATACAAATATTATAAGTTTGGTTCCGTGAAGAAAGCGGGACAGCAACAAATGTATTTGGGGAGGGGGTAACACATATTTTTCGGTGAGAGCAAGCTGGTGAACACGTCCGGATTACTCTGGCGGAAATGGAGCCAATTCTAAGCAGGACTGATTCAATGCAAAGCAACAGTTACCAAACCAATTCCAAACAGCACTGGGCCAACACAAGCCAACACTAAGTTGATACGACACCAGTTCTAAACACTAAACAGCACGAACTGAAGGCTCCTACCCCATGTTTGTTTTAAAGTATTGTCCGTTCCGGAAATGATATTCACCACCCTTCTATAAGGGTGCAGGTTTCTGCCTAGTGTTCGGTCAGGAGTCCAGGATGTTGTTCGGGCAGCTGGAGCTGAAGACGAAGAAGGAAGTCAAGCAGAAGAACCCCACACGTTGAGGCGTGCTCCGAGGCCAACCCTCAGCTCGCAAGAAGGTCGCAGGACAGAATCCCTGCTCAGTGGATTAATTACACCCTCTGGGGCCGCTACTAGAATCGATTAACCAAACACAAAGCAATCGTGTGCTACTGTTCTGAGTTCACTGCGCAACTCGGGAAAGCGTCACGTTCCTACCAAACCAAGGGAACATGCTAAACTAGCCTGTTGAATCTGCTCAGTGGCTTTGCCTCAATATGGGGAACCGGGTTGCCCTGTTGTGTATTTTAGGTATGTTCCATGCTGGGAATGTTCAATGCCTGGGTGTTGCTCACCCATTCCAGGTGGTTGGTGTAGTTTTGGATTCCCCTCAAAAGCATCTCACAAGGGTTTCAACTCGGTTTAAGACAAATTCACGTGGCCATTCACAACCACCTGGCATGTCAGCAAGCATCTTTTTCGTTGCATGCCCCGACAAATGCACAGATACAAATGAACAAACCAACAAAAGCATGGCGTGGCGTTTCGAGGCTTGGTACCTTTTTGGGGTTTGTGTTTAGGAAGTCAAAGGATTTCCCAGCATACACGACAACAGCCACAGTGAGCCCAAAGAGCCTGGGACCTTCGATCGCTTCGATGCGTCGATGTGCGGAAGTTGCCCGTTGCGCCGGCTTTCGAACCGCTGATGCGCCTCCCAGACATAAGTCGATGCTTCCGAACATCGGTGACTCCCTTGTACGTTCTTTACAGGGAACCCAAGAGGACACCGATCTTTTGGAGGGCTTTCCTAGTTTTGCGAACATCTAGGTTGATGTGTGCCAGTCCTTGTCCACGCAAGCAAACACATAAACAAACAATGAAAGCCTAACACGCTCGCCAAAGAAGAAATAATGAGGTTGCCACTGGAGCCACCATAAACATGAAAGGCCTTAAGTGCCATCTCAGCCCTTAGACCATGGGAACCATCCAAACCCTCTCTGGACCAAGCCATGTCCCCTTTTGAACAGGAAAAAACCGTATGGCTGTGAACCATGTGGCTTCTTGGTGGCTCCCTGCCATCCGGTTCCTTCGCTTTTTCGCTTTTTGGTGTTTATTGGTAGTTTCCATTTAGCCCACTAAAGCTTAAACTGTTAGCGGGGGATCTGAGGACAGCCCAGGGTTGAACCGCTGCATGCTGCCCGGCGCGCGGGGAGTGTTACCTCACCCCGACGGCTGTGCAGCCTGGGGGAAAGCCGGCGAAAAGAGGATCAAGGCTCATGTGCGATTTACGATGTTTGCCGTTTGTCACCCTGAAACGTTGAATGACCCAAGGTCGGCAAATGGAACCCGGGTATGTTGCTCACTCATGAAGAACAAGCAAGACACTGGTGCATTGAGTCAGTTTCCGGGATGTCAAATTCTGAGCGGATTGCCATACGTTGTAGGGGTCGATCATTTCACATCACGTCAGATTGCGGAAATGTCACCAATGTGTTCGTGAACATGCAGCCAAGTTGCTTGGGTTGTTGCGCTTTTGGCGGAATCGTGCACCCGAGCAATTTTCGGGAAACTCTCAGCAGGTTTGAACGGGTTCTGAAGTGCATTATTAAACGCATCCCCCCATTACAGTGCTTTTGGCTGCGGAACGCTTTCTGGTGCGTTGCCCCTGATCTACTGTGCTTTTTCATGCACATGTTGTTGGGTGATCCCGAGACGCGTGGACCATTCTGGCCGGGATGAATCACATGACAGAAGTGGCTGCCACGCCTGGATGCTTGGTCTTGCCAAGTTTGCCCCTGGCCCCATTCTGACGAATTTTGCGGATGTCCAATGCATGATCCCGTTTGCGAGAACCCGTTTAGAGCTTACCTTTCCCGGCAGATGTAGAAATGCGTTGGGTATTGACAACTGTAGTGGGGAGGGGGTTTACGGCCTCTAGATTCAATGGGGATAGATAATCTACACAGCCACCTTCACCTTACCAAACCGCCTTGGTTGAACTACACACAGATGAGCTGTAGACGCTGCGCAGGTTGGTTGCCGACGATAGCCTTGGCCATTGTTTGCCCCAGCGATAGGGCCATGACCATAAGAGCGCACCACAAAGCTTGTTGTGCGCACATGTTGTCAAAGCGCATCAATGACCGCTTGTGGATACCTGTTAGCAACGACATCATCATCAGCAACAACGCAAACACAAACCTCAACCAAACTCACAACCACTGCCACATTTACAACCACGACCACAATCACAACCACCACAACCAACAGCAACTGCAACGCTACACATGTTAACTCAGCGAACAGGGACCGGCCCCATCTCATGGATTCCAACTTCAGTACCCGTCAAGGCCTTGGAAATGGCGATGTTTCACAACTTAGCATCCATTTGTCCAAGTGAATGTTGTCTATGTCCTGTAGAAGATGACCATGACTGACTATGGTGTCTTTTTTCATAGCACCTTTCTATCACGCATTTCGCAGGCCAGAATGACACACAGGCCCAGAAGCCCACATCCATCAAGCCCTCCGTGCGCCATGCTGACGGAGCCCACGGGCTTTAGAAGAAGCCCCTTGCTACAGGCCTCGCTGCGAATCTGGGGGGTGAGGAGTCCCACATTCATAGTCGTCCATTTGCTGAAAAAACATCAAAGCCAGTAGTGATAGATTCACTTTACAAGCAACAAGGGGAAATAACAAAAACCAAACTCATTTCAAGGTGGCTTCTGAAATGAGTTTTTTTTTGTTATTTCCCTTGTTGCTTTCAACGGGAATCTATCACCACTGGATTTGTGCATTTCTTTTCTCAAGCTGGCTTAAGCAAATGGAAGTAGTTTCTTTGTGACCTCGCGCCCACCTTTGGACTTTTGACAAACTGTGTTCCGGTTTCACCTTAGAAGTCAAAGTCCAAGTCAGTATTGTACAATTCATTGTTTCGCCTAGACATTTCTTGTACAGCGTGTCGGCGCTGGGCTATTCGATTATTTTAGGTGGCCAACGGCAAGCCACTTAAACTGATGTTGGTCAGTTCAAGAAGTAATCCTCTTGAATGAGGGCAGAGGGGGACACACGTGCCAAACTCGCGCTTTTCAATCGAGTCCCGTCTGTTTTGCGGGAATGTCAGGGGGCTTGGAGGAAATCGGTTGCTGCTCCTTTGTGGGCCTGACAAAAGATGGGCTTTGCGGCCGAAGGACGGGTATTTGCCTTTTGGCATGGGCCCTGCCAGCCCATTTCGGTCTTTCAAAAGCTCTTGTCAGCAACGCCGTCTGAAGCAGAGAAGCCAAAGGCCCCTGGAAGGGTCTCTGGACTCGGATCAGAACATTCCAAGGGGATAGCGGGCCAAAAGGGAAAGTCCCTTGCAACCGCACATGTATCCAAATGGATGCCAAGTAAAGAGACCCTCGGCCACACAAAAAATCGTGTTTGGCGGGCGGGGAACATCTTCGCTCTTTCAACCACTTGGGGTTGGAGTATTGCGCTGGATTTAGCTAGGATGTGTGGCATTCTGTGTAACACAGCATTCGGGTTTGGGGAAGGCGTGTTTGTTTCGACCCTGATTGTGTTGCTTGCGGACCTTTCTTTTACCACAGCTTGTGTTTATCATGTGTGCTGCTTCGCGATCCCAATTTGGCTTCCACATGCACTTGGTAGATGACCAATGAAGCACCAATTCTTGGTAAGGTGAATAGGGGCCATGTATTGTGTTTCATGACATCCTAGGATTCTATCCTGGAAAGGCTGGCAAGCCTGCAACGTGGCTGGAACTCGCCCACGCAAAAACGGAGCCCAAGGTGAAGTAGCAGCAACCCAATCAACTCGCCTCAACAATGTTTGTGTTGATCATGTTTCAACTTGGTTCGAGCGGATCAATCCGGACCTGTCACCCTCTGAGCGGTGTGCATGGCATTTTCTGACGTGCCCTTGTCGTTTGTCTTGCTGTGGTCGTGGAGAAAGGGTGTTTGTTCGGGCCAGTTTCCGCTGTACCCTTGGGGAATCCCCTAAAATCGTGACAAAGAAGATGGGAATCCAACGTTGGCAAGGTGATCCTCCGCAATGTCAGGGAGCCTTGCGGTGAAGGTATGTGAGTCTGAGTCAAAATTGAACCACCAACAAACTGCAGGTTTTAGTCCTTGTCTCCAAAAAAAGCTGGGTAACCCTTTTTTGAGTTACCCTATTTTTGACCCACACCCATATGACTTTGGGCCATGTTCCATTCTTTTTGCAGGCCCAGAAACGACACGCAGGCTGCCTCTGCCGGGCTCAGCGTAACAGCCTAACAAAAAGAACGCCAGCAGGTGCTGCATTCATTGGGGGAAGAACAGCTCGGCGAGGTGTGGCACAACGAAGGCCCAGGAAGGCATTATGAACAAGTCCCAACTTGTTCTCATAGGTGTCCTCTTTAGGTGAGCCTGGTTAAAAATAGATTGCACTGGTTTGGATGGGTTTTGTTCCATTTACCAGGGCCATCTATTTTTCCAAAAGGCCATCTATGCTTGTTCTTTGTCCACAGCTTGGCGCAGTTCTCGACACGTTCGACCGTTTCTCATGAAACCCCTTTGCAGGATCCTCGCGTTCGCTTCTTTGCCGGAGCCTCAGACATGCTCGCTCCCAGCCACATGTAGGCGTATTCTTATGTATACCTTTAGAAGCATTGAAGCTAGGTTTGGAGGGTTGGGCAAACATGTTGTGTCTCCGGCTCTGGTCCCATTCAAAGGGAAAGCCAAAGGAGCTACATCAAGCTGGTGTTTCAACCTGTTCAACCCAGGGATTGGCCCAATGCTTTCTTTGGCTGACTTGCGAGTCTTGTGGGCTTCATCGATGTATCGCATTTGGCCTAGTTAAAACCCTCAACACGACACCTCAAAGACTTGACTGGGCTGTTGGATCCTGTCTGGACACCGATTTCTCCGTAAGCGAACGCCTCATCCAAGGGACATTTGGCAAGTGAGAATATACGAATAGTCAAGGGGCACTAGGTCACATGCACTGCATTAATTGAGCCCGGAACGCTAGGACAACCCACCTTGGCCCCCCCGAAACAATTCCCCCCCCCCCCCAAAAATCAGAGGCCCCGAAACAGGGAGGGACTGCCCAAAAAAAAAGCGTCCGCCAGATCGAGGATGCCCCGAATTCAGGGATCCCCAAAATCAGGGCCCCAAGAATTTAGGACCCGGAAGTTCAAGGCGGGACTCCAAAACACGGGGTTTGGGTTGCTGGGCTGCAAGTTTGGATTTTCTACAATGCCCTGAGAAGACTTGTTCGGAGAGGATTGTATCTGCCTAATCTATGGGCTTGAGAAGCAAAACGAGATCAGGCTCCATAAGTGTTGGAAGTCCTCCGCTTTGCGTGAGCTTCTGCACGTTGCAGAGATGCCACTTTCACCTCAGTGAGACTTTGGCAATTCATACCTCTGTAAAGAGTATCCGAATCCGTTTGTTGTTGTACGCGCCAACGCGTGCTGAACACTCCCCAGGTGATTACCAGCAATGTGGGGGACAACGTGGTGAAGTCGGTGGAGAACAACGTGCTCGCCTCACGTGTTTGCATTTGCACGTAGCCAACCCTTCATCAACAGTTCTTCGTTTGAACAGGGGACGGACTTAGGCTTTATTGCAGAGGCCGAACACCTGTTCGACAGCTGCCCAGAAATTATGTTTGTTTGGTTTGGGTAGGTGTTGCCTTAAAACTTCAGCAATCAAAAAGTGTTTGCTTTGAAACTCGGTAGCATTCGTTTCCGGAATGACTCTGCGGGAGAACTGTGTATGTTTGAGCTGGGAAAGCGTCCTTTTCTTCAGATCTGCGACCCCGCCAACAAAAAAGAGGCAAAGCTTCTCTGGCATGCGTGTTAGGCGCTTGAGGCTCCCCTAACGTTAAGACTTGCTCACAACCAGAGCCATCAAACAGTACCTTGGTACGTTCTCGGGATACACAGGCACGAACATGTTAGATTACTACTGCACGGCCAACCATAAATACATGCAGCACCCCTGTGAGTTTTCATGCTTTCCTTGGTTGGCATGACTCAGATGAACTGAACTACAGCAAAGGTGCCTGGAGACTACTTTCTGCATGAGACCTCTTCGTGGATTCCTTTGGATGCCAATAAAATTCCGCTTTAAAATGATCAAATGGCAATGGGCTGGGCCACGCCTCTTTGCAATCCCAGAGAACGACAATTGTCCATGCTCCATCAGCAGTCAATCATCATCGCAGGAGCCTTTGGAGGGAGAGAAGTGAGACAGAACTTGCTGATTGGCTCGTTTTTCCCACGTTGGTCCGGTTACTGGAACCACTGAAGTGAGATCCTCGAAGATACCCCTTCGGAATGGCGCCTTTTTAGCGGGGTTCCCCACCAAGCTGCCTGCAGCCGTTGGTTTTGTGGGGAGCCAATCCCAGTTGTTGTCAACAACCCCCCCTTTCGCCCGCCCCGACCAAGCCCCCCCCCCCCCCGACCCCATTCAACATTCATCAATCAACCCCCGCCCAAACCAACCCACCCCCTCCCGAAAAACCAACCCCCCACGGCCTTCCCCTTGTCGGAGCTTTTTGATGACAGGCATGCATGCCAACGTGCGTGCGAGTCAGCAGAATGGAATCCTAGGAGGCAACCTGGGCCCAAAATGACAAACTCATCGGCTAAATATGGGTGTTCCCACGGCCTTTTGTGGATCAGACCTCAGGTCTGGGCCACCCAGCGCAAGAACGAGCCGCTGCTCATCGACGCCTTCCGCAGCTGTCGCGCCGGGCGCCCCAGCCGCTGCAGCGGGCGCCCAGCAGCGCTGGCGCTGGGGCCCCCACGCGCGCGTTGCGAACACGTGGCTCCTGGGGGTTGCCCCCTGAACTGACCAAATGTTCCGTGTTTTTTTTGGGGGGGTAAAGGTTCCCTGAAATTACAATTTTTCGCTTTTTTTAAATAACCAGCCAGGCTTGTTTAATTTTGGCGTTTTGCTTAAATGTTTTTGTGCAAGTGGTGGAAAACCCGCTTCGCCTCGTTGTTGGAAGATCTGGTTTGTTGTTCAGACTCGGGTTGAGCCACAGTATTCAGGCTTTTGACTCATTCGGCCTAGCAGAATGAGGATGTTGTTTGTGTTGCAGAACGTCAACGCATGTCACGTGTTGAGCCAGACTCATGGACTGTAAAACTCGGGGGCTCTCTCTCTCTCTCTCTCTCTTTCTCTCTCTCTTGGGATGCTGTTGAATTTAAGCCAACAGGAACCAGAACATTTCTTGGGGGTTTGCCTACCTTGGAAAGCTCCCAATCGTCCGTCGAGTCGCCTCCGCTTGTTGCCTTGTCAAGGTGCCTAAACTGACCCCAGTGAAGCATGACACTCTCATTTGGCCAAGCAAGGCCTGCAGTCCCATCGTAATTTTGACCATGCTGATGATTTCAAACCCAGATTTAACCCCCTGCTATTAATGTTGTGATGTGATTCCGGCCTGGTGTTGATGTGTCTGGTCTTTGTGCTCCCTCGTCCTCCTCAAAATCAGCTTTAGACTGGTCGTGGTAACCAGAGTCCACCCGTTTGTTTGGCGCAGTTGTGCTGCATGAATGCAACATGATCGCGATTTGTTTTTGTCGGCGAAACCACGGGATTTATTAGCAGGTCCCCAGTTCTGACGGGATCTGACGGAGACACCTGGCGGATTGGCGGGACTCCTCTGGTTGTTTTGGGTTGACTTGTCAAAATCAGCCAGAGGTTCTGCTTGGTCCTGGGCTCCTGTTAGGAAAGGTCTTTTCAGTGATTGGATTTCTTTGGGTTTTCCTCAAAACGTCGCTATCGTACAAGGTAAAAAGCTGGTTGCAGTACAGTAAACACATCAACTTGTTTAATGTTGAAGAGCTACTAGCGTTGCTGGAAGCGCTGAGGTGATGTTCAAACAAATGGCTGCGGGTCAACAATGTGCCCAAAATGGCTTGCCCTGGTAAATGGAAATAAGGACTAAACCCGCGGTCCCCCAGTGGTTTAATTTTGACTCATGCCCAAATCCATGGGGGAAACCAATAGGGGGAAGCAAAATAGGGGGACACTCCTTTTTTCCCCTTTTTGTGAGTTCCTTCTGGGTTCCTGTCTTGACTGCTATTGGATTAGATCTTCAGACTTTGACTTTTTGGGAAATCAAGGGGTTTCCGCTAAACCCTCCGAAAAGTTAAACTTTCTGCAGGGGGGTCAACAGCAAGCCAGCTGGAGAAGTTTTCCCCTTGTCTGAGGCGGTGATCCTCATCTTCTCGGTGAGCCGCTCCGGCGCCTTCCAGGGCTATGCGCGCATGCCAGGTCCTTGGGCTCGAGACCGGAAGGCTCAGGAGGTCCCCCCGGGACCAAAGGGAGAGACCGCCCATGTTGGGATATTGAGGCAATGTTAAGTTAAAACCGGGCGGGGACTCCCGGGTTTCAGCATTAACTTGAAGATTTGAATCCTGTTGGGAATGAAGTCAGGGGACGCCTCCAGGGAACCTGAATCCACCGGATTCCACGGGGCTGGCCTGTTGCGACACCCTTTTTCAGGACAAGGGACCCCCGCTGGGGTAGCACTACAAAAAAGGATCGGGAGTCTACTCCTCTAAGCAACCGAGGCAGTCCAGCGGGCTGCCAGCAATTGGTGCCCGACCTCTCACCCCCTTTTTGTGGGGAGGGGTGCCCTACTAACATAGATTACAGAAAAAGTGGGTAGCCTTATTCTATCCTCTCTACTGGAGGACCTAGTAGGGGAATGCGTAGTTCACCAGCCCTTTCTATTTGCTTGAGTTGGGCTTGATATTCAGACCATAGTGGTAACGATTTTCAGAGTTTGGTGGTCAACTCCGGCAAGTGAGCGGACATGAAGGCAGATGTCCGGGTAACCAAACTGGTCAACAGACGGATTCGGCCAAAGGACCACCCCTTTTGGACTGAGGCCTCACATTGCCAAGGGCTTTGATTTGCAACAGCTTTCAACCTAAAGCTTCCTCTCTTGGTCCATTTCAACCAGGGGCAGTTTTGTGACTTATTGCAATTCACTCAGAATTTACGGACGTATGGTCCACTTGTCCCACGGGGTTACTGTACTGTTGTGTTGCTTCAGGCTCTGTAGGTGTGCCCTTTGTCTCCTCACCCTTTGAACTGGAGCTTTTGGCCAATCTGATTGGGATCCCAAACATAGCGCATGATGTTGCATCCGACACTTGGTGTGCTAAAACAACGGTTTCATCCTTCTCGAACTATCCCCTGATTTGAGATGCTCATGCACACAAACACAAACACAAAGACGCACACACAGATGCAATCGTTAGAATGCAATGACCACCAGCCCACAAGCTTCCACGTGTGCTAGCGCACAAATATCCAACCACATTATTCTGCAGGTGCTTGCATTGCTCACGTCACGACCCATCCACAACATGCGATTTCCGGGGTTCTTGTGCCCAAATGTCATTGAGGAAGCACAGGTAAAAACGAATTGACTGCGTTGACCGTCCCGATGTTTGCCCTCTTGGGGTTGTTGCATAAGATGAGTTGCACTGTTTGGCGAGGTAATGAGAAAGCCAGCCTTTCCTGAAAGCTGGTTGCCATTGCATGCATAGGAGACGGGGTTCGGGTTTGGGGGGGTCTCACGCTGCCCCTTGGCTGGGGCAGATGGGTGCTTCTCTTTTTGAGGGTGCCCTTGTTTGGTTGTTTCCGACCCATACAACATTTGTACGAAACTCGTACACCTGTTCCTGTCAAGGTCCCGGCCAGTAAGACGTAGCTCACCCAACAACACCCTGCCCTTTCAAGAGGCATAGGTTTGAGAAAACTGACATGACAAGTAGCAAGGAAGAGGAGCAAATCAAAACTGACCATTGAAAAGTAGCAAAGAAGAGGAACAAATCAAAGCTGACCATTGAAAGTAGCCAACATGAACAAACAATTTGAGCAAGATCTGCACTGAGGCGCAGCCTGCCGGGTCACTCGAGATGCAAGGCCGACCCCTTCAGCGGTTTCGGGCGCCTCTTCGACGCCCCTTGGGCTGAAGGGGCATCGACGACTCGACCGCATCGATCCGTTCTTGGGCCCTTGGCTTGGGTCGAACAGGGCTGTTTTGCTCGGTGGCTCCACAGCCATCGGGTTCCTCAGCTTTTTTGACAATTTCGGTGTTTAGTGGGGATTTTCATGTAACCCACAGAAAGGTAAAACTTTTAGCAGGAGATCTAAGGAGAGCCCAGTTTGGAGCTCCAATAATGGCAGTTCTGTTGGGACGCAGATTACTTTTGAAGTGCAATCCACCTGAAAACCGACCTTTCGGCCTTCTGGGCACCACTTGAGTGTGCTGTGCGAATTGACGATCATGGATTGAGATTTAGGCAGCCCAGACCGAATTGCCATTTGGCTGTGGTTATCCAAACCAAAATCATCTCATTTTGGGGTAGGTGAATTCACCACCCATTTTAGAACCTGTTTTAGCGGGGTTGGGGCGTTTCACCGGGGCCTAACCGATTTGCATTTTGACCGAATCGCCACTTAAGACATCGTTTGTTGGCAAACTTATTGGCAAACTCGAAGCGGAGCTCATTCCTTGGTTTGCCAAGCAGGGATAACCCACCGCCGGGAAGAAGTACTTAGCAGCGCTAGCAGTGGCGGCAGCAAGAGGTAGTAGTAGAAACTCTTAGTAGTGGTACTAGCAGCAGCAGCAGCAGCAGCAGTTGAAGTAGTAGTAGAAGTAGTACAAGTAGAAGTAGAAGTAGAAGTAGAAGTAGAAGTAGAAGTAGAAGTAGAAGTAGAAGTAGTAGTAGTAGTAGTAGTAGTAGTAGTAGTAGTAGTAGTAGTAGTAGTAGTAGTAGTAGTAGTAGTAGTAGTAGTAGTAGGTAAATTTCCTTGTGCCGTCAGGTCGAGTGGCTGCGGCTTCAAGATGTCATCATGCCAGAGGTGCGGGCCATGCGATCCCATGCTTCTTTCAATCTGCGCTTGTTTGTTGTAGGAGCCAAGGGTGTGGTTTTCCCTTTGTGGATGATACCCCTTTATTCAATGGCTTGGGAATTCTGGGAAGACTGGGTACAGGTGAAGACAGGGGAGGCCAAAGGTAGCTTCGGGGTCCCTTGAAACCAAGGCCCATGTTCACAAGAGACAGATGCGTCTCCCGCTCCTTCCTTGCGTGAAACAGGTTGAGATTATTTGAACTGACCTGAACTACCCTCGCAAAGACCCAGGGGGCGGGGGGTTTGAGAGAGTGGCTTCTGCTGTATCTATGCTTTGGCCTCGTGCCAAACTGTCTGTTTGAACGGAGAAGGTGTGACATGCTTGGGTCTTTGTAGCGACTTTGCGGAAGCTTGCGATCTCTGCCATGGTGAAGGTTCCTTCGTTGGGGATCGCTATTGCTTTAGGCTGACAATTCAGTCGTCACCCAGACACCCAGATGTGTTTGTGCCTGTTTGATGTGGCGCTGTGTTTGGAAGTCGCAATGTCTGATATGGAGTATCACATTAGACAGCAACGTCGACTGTTAATCATGAGTCAGATTAGGCCATTCTTGCCAGTCTCAGCCATAAGTTGCCCCATTGCCTTTCGATGTTTTCCAGTATTTTTCTTCCATGGGCCGGGCACTTTATGTGCAGTTTGGGCAACTTGTCGAGGCTTCGGGAGGCTTCTAATCCACCCCGAGATCCTTGCGGCATGGCTTGTGCCGGTCCATTGGACCGGGTCTCCGAATCTCCGAAACGAGCACCTTTCGACAGGTCCTGAGCCACTTGCTCAATTTCTGGGTAGATGAAGGTTAATGTTGACCCCGGATGAAGTTAAACCCCTGTTTATTATGGGGGTCTTCCCCTCCAAAAGTGTCTGAATCCCCACTAACACCGGGGACACCCCCATATTAACAAACAGGGGTTTATTAATCCGGGGTCAACATTAGCCAGGGACAATCCCAACGATTAGCTGCGGATATCCGCCTTCTAAATTATTGAAGCATGGTTCGGGGATTACGACCATTTTACTACCGGGTTTTGATGACGTAGGTGAGCTACCTGCGGAACCCCTTGGACGAGGGGCGGCAGGCATCGGGCCAAAGTCGGCCGGATTTTTTTTTGGAACGAAGCTAAAGCTAGACCCCCCCCCCCACTGTGCGGAAATCCGCGAATCATCTTGCGGGCATCTGCATGTGTCCCCACTCTTGTAAAAGAAATCCTTTCGCAGTTGTTATTTGGTGAACAACATGAATACTGAGTGGACATTGGCAATTGACAAGCTCTGGCAAGTGCCGGTCAACCAACCAAACCTAGCACAAGCAACAAATCCGCAAGCTCTTTCCCACCATGGTGTCATTTCTTTGATTTACGTTTGCGATCTGAAAGATGATCACCTTTTATTAGACTAGGACCTTGTGTTACATGAGATCGCAGCGGCAAGAAGTTGCAAACATACTGAATTCTCTCAAAAGACATGTCGCTGTCTTGCTTGTTGCTGGTGTGGATCTGAAATACAATAAATGTCTGTCCACGTTTCTTGAAGGACACCATGGAATATGGCTAGTTCCTGAATCTCTGGAGTTTGAATGTATCCCCTGGAATGAGCCCCCCGAGTTGATGAGTCGGGACTTGATGGCTTAACAGTGGGCAACCCGTTAAGGGAACCAAAGGGGCGCTCATGGATTCTCGCGAGGTCCATAGAGCCTTCGAGTTGTTGATTTCGGCTCCTTGAGCCGGGGTGGCAGGATTGGAGGTGCTCCCAACAACCGAGTTGCGGGAACTGCCCCCTTAACAAGTCAGCAAATAACTTTTTGTTCCCGGGTCTTTACGTGCTCTGTTCTTGCAGGTTCCGCGGCCAGGCTTCTTAGCTACGGGTGGATTTCTGCAAAGGGCATGCTGGTGTGACCCTCGGGAAATCACTGGGCAACTCGAAAAGTCATGGGTCTTTCTCAAATGAGCCGAACACCCTGAGAAGGGTTAAATAAAAGGCTCTGTTTGCTTAGCTCCTTTGTAAGTCCAATCATTGAAGGAAAAGGAGAGAGCCTTTATGCCGCCTATTCCATGCGCCATCGCGCGGTAAAGCAAGCTCACGAAAGCCTCGCAAAAAGAGATCAGCGAAGCGTGTGGGCGCGAAAGGTTTTCCATTTCGTGAAATCTGCTTTGTCTCAGTTGCCCAAAGCCGACCTTTTGACCTTTTGTTTTTGCCTTTTTGGTCTCGTTTTAGTCATGGCCCCAAAAGGTTAACCTTTTATTTCTGGGTCCTTTGGGCAAGTGAGTTGTTAGTAGAGACGGTTTTCTGTACCCGGTGTTCGGCACCGCTCAAATAGATTCAAAGCTCTGAACGGGTTCCGAGCGTGCTGATGCGGAAACCCAGAACAAACTACGTGGACGTGATGGGCAGCATCCTTCAAGGAGGGGAGCCCTGAAACCGGTTGGCTGCCATGATGTTCAAGGCTGTCCCTCTGAGGTGTGGCAAGGTACGTAAGGTTATTGATAAAGCGCTTCCGAGCTTAAGCTATATAAGGGCTGCTCCTCTTCAAAGAACTCCCTCTCGTGCTCAGTACTTGTAATTGCAAGTAAATGCAAGTTATAATTGTGACAACCTGCTGGTCAGTTCCTTATCTACTGGTCAGTTCCTTACGTATGTGTCCGTTGGGGGTGACGTTCAAGGGATAGCTCAGTTGTTCAGCGGCACCCCCTTTTTTGTTGGTGGCTGCCCCACTAAAAATGGTCTTCCCCACAAAGGGTTCCCTTTTTTTTCCATTGTCACTGAACAACTGAGATAATATAGGAAGAGCCTAAGTTGCCTGGCCAAACTCATCCATGGTCCTTCGGAGAATGCGGCCGAGCATCCCGAATCCGAAGCCACGCGCGTTTCACGTGGGCCAGGTGTCCTCTGCGCGGGACGGACAGGAGCTGCCCTACGAGGCGCTTTTCTTTGGTGCATTTTGCTTGGATGTGAAGACTTTAACTTGTTGCCAACTTGTTTGGGTTTTCCATCAAACCAGAAGTTAAAGAATTAACAGTGGAGCAGCTTTCGCAACCGAGTTCTGGTGGTTTGCTCCGATTTGGTCTCGGGACCAAAGGGAGAGACCGCCCATGTTGGGATACCTTGAAGCAATGTTAAAACCCGGGACTCCCGGGTTTTAGCATTGCCAACTCGAAGATTTGAATCCTGTTGGGAATGAAGTCAGGAGATGTCTCTAGGGAACCTGAATCCACCGGATTCCACAAAGTTTGCCTTTTGACCCCCTTTTTCAGGACAAGGGTTTGCTGGGTATGTGCACTACAAAAAAGGATCGGGAGTCTACTCCTCTAAGCAACCGAGGCAGTCCAGCGGGCTGTCTAGGTCCCCCAGCTAGGTGCCCTTTTACCCTTGTTTGGGGGAGGGTTCCCCTACTAGAATAGACTACAGCAAAAGTTGCTAGCCTCTCTACTGGAGGACCTAGTTTTCCTTCAGCTGGCTCAAACTGGCTAACCTTTCGGCCGGCCTGTCCACGCTTGATCAGATGCAACCTCATAAAATGTGAGGACAACAAGGGAATGGGACTACCCCTCGGACTTCCTGGGAAAAAAAGCTGGGCCGACTCCCGAAGCCAAACGTTGGCAAACAAGTTGTCCGTCGCTTCTGTGAGCTTCGGGATGTGAGGGACTCGCGCTTATTTGTTTTCTCAACGAGGAGTGACTTGCTGATTTGGGTATGGGTCAAAATTAAGCCACCAGGGGACCGCAGATTTTAGTCCATGTTTCCATGTACCAGGGTTCCATTTTGGGTACCTTTTTTGACCCACAGCCATTCGTTTTCTCAACGAGGGGGGACTTGCTGATTTGGCGCAAGGCCGCTATCTGAAGAAGCCATTGGCAGACTCCGGTGGAACGGAAAACCGTTGAGCCGTTTCGACTTCCCATCTTCTATGCTGCAGTTGGCGAGTCAAACAGATGAGTGGTTTTGCGACTCCGATGTTCTGTGATTCCTGGCGAGGCCCCCTGAACATGAAACATGCTAGCGGGAACTTGATGTTTGCAGCCGGTTTGGGCTTTCACCTGGGCTTAGATTGACGGCGTCCTTGCTAGGCGAGGAAGTGAGACTTTTGGATCCTTCAGGTTCGTTTCATACCAGACGGAAGCACGAATCGGTATATTCATACGTGTTCGATGCCCCAACTGAGATGTTCCCCCACGAGCGTTCGAAAGCGAAAGGGAACATGGCCCATGTCTGCTTGTGGTGTGATGTCCACCTTGTCCAAAGTATACAAGCCAACCGGTGGCATAGCCAGCCGCAACGGATGACACATTCGATTGGCAGCTGTGAGAGTCGCAGGTGGGCCGAGAGCTTTGCACACACTTCGACGTGCGGGTGCGGGGCCCCGCCCTTTTTGCCGCGTGAGAAGCACGTCTTGCAAGCTTGGAACACCTAGTTGCCGTGAACCCCCGAGGCAAATCAACTCGAGCAAGCTTGAAATGCTTATTTGCCATGGACCCCGGTTTTTTTTTTTTTTTTTTTTTTTTTTTTTTTTTTTCGTTTGCGGATCGAAACATGCTGAAACGGCTTTGGGGGCTCCGCGCTTTCGGGAAAAGGCCGGCGTTGGGACTCTGCAACCCTGAGCTCAACAGCGACTTCAATTCGGTTGGATGTTAACGGATGCACTCCCGGGTATCATGTGAATAAGGTCCCTACCAGGCTGTCCGCCAGTCGGCGTAGTTCTAGACATGCAGCTTCGTCACTTTTACAGTGAAGAGAGATCAAGTTGAACCCATTGGCACTCCTTCATTTTCTGGCGTTCACTGTATTTTTGCATACTGTATTTGGGCTGAGTCCTGGATGTTTGACACTGGCTGTCTTTGGTGATTCTCCTCTCAGGGAGCGAGTCTTTGTAAACATCAGGCAAACGGGAGTCTCGCTTTGATCTTTGGTGTCACTGAACCATACAGAAATCTTCTCCCAAATGCCCAAGGCTCCAACACGGTTGGGTCTTCTAAGCAATCCAAAAACCTGCAAACCTGCACTAAGGCCCAATTTAAGCCACAGAAAGGGTGGGTGTTGGGCATGCCGTTTGGATGGGACTGGAGCGGATTCGGCTTGGGGCTTGGAGGCGTTCGGACCCGAGCCTTGTCTGGGGCTTGAAACAAATATGGCCATGGGCTTTTCCAAATCCAAATCGGTTAGGTTCCAGCGAACCTCCGATTCAATCCCCAATAAAATAGGTTCTAAAATGGGTGGTGAATTCACCTACCAACCAAAATGGTACCATTGGTTTTGACCCACAGCAATATCATGGCTCCAAGCGAACAATCAGCAAGCAACAACAAGCGACAGCATCCACAACCAAGCAGCGGCACTAGCAAACAAGCGCCCGATACACGGCACACAACAAATAATCCGTAACGACACACATCCATCAAGCTTCCAACAGCCAAGCAGTAAAATCATCAACCAACAACAATAACCACGTCCTACAACCAACCAACTTGCGCATCACCCAGCCCAAAAAACAGCATCCATCGCCCAACAGCCAACAAGCAACAACCAAAAACCAACAACCAAACGACGATGACGACGCCGATGATAACCACGGCAAAAGCAGCAGTAACAGCAGCAGTAACAACGACAACAGCAGCAGCAGCAACAGCAACAGCAACAGCAACAGCAACAGCAACAACA